GTGCAGTGCCAGATTTCTGATTCACTTCTGCCTGCCACACTGATGTGCAAGTAAAACATAAGCTATTTTCTTAAGAAACTTCTCAGTACTGGAGCGCATCCCATTCTCCTTAATGTTCATGTGCAACTTCCTTCCAATGAGGCAAGTGCAAATTATTGCACATTTATGTACTTTCTGAGCACCGCACACCCTGCACAAACATTCCTGCCATCTGAAATCCCACTCAAGACAGCAGCTATCGAATGATTTTGATATTTCTCAGCTAGGAGCTGCTAAATCCTGTTCAATCTGCTTCTTAATTAAGACTTGGTGATTCTTTTATTCTAATTGCCTTATAATTGCTAAAGCAATTAGTTCGATGTCAGTTTTGATCCGGCTGCATTCGGTGCCGTTGCTGATAAGACTCCGCAGCAGGGCAGTAGGTGGGCAAGCACCATCTGTGCCAATCCTGCACCCGCTTTATTTTTGCGAGGACAACATTTCCTCTGAGCATGGGGAAGCTCCAGGGGCTGTCTGCAGGGTTTAATGACTTCCCAAGTGCTCTGAGCAGCGTGGCTCCAAAAACACGTGAAAAGTGCAAGTCCTGCTGGTATGGGAGCTCTTTACAGCTCAAGAGCAGCATGTTCTGCTTGGGTCAGGGCTGACCAGGGGACTCCTTCCCACCCATGCAAATCCCACGAGCAGCGGAGGAGCGGGCGCTGCGGATCCCCCGGCACCAGCAGGATCAGCCCCTGGCGCAGCCACGCGGGAAACAACGGCAGCGAGAGATGCTATTTCTGTTTGGCTTTTTGGCTTTCAGGCTCGGGAACCGTGGGATGTTATGGAAATCTGCAAAAGCGCTAATCAGACAGCAACTTTCAAAGAGGGGAAAGAAGGTCTGGCAGGCAGAGACTAGAGATAAAATGGCAAACTTGGAAACCTCAAGCATTGTTCGGAAAACTCATCTGGAAACGAATCAAAACTGTCTTTGGACTTGGCTGGTTGGGAGAAAGGAAGTTTAACTAGAAGAGATCAGTGCTGATTCAGGACAAAAAAAATACTTAAAAAAACACAGTCTGGGGCCTTTTTTCCTCCCATTGTGAATGTATTTTAATGAGACTTCATTTTCATTTTTGACTGAACTGCTACAGGCTCTTAAAGCTACCCAGGGCAATGAAATAACTTTGCAGTAATGGGAAGCGCAGCCCAGGCTGGCATTACTTGAGCTGTTTCATGCATGATGAGTGTGGGAGGGCTTGGTTTTATAGGCTTGGGGAAAAAAAATGGTACAGAGCACAGGTTGCACTCACATGTTCCTGCCCTATTAACACGGCTGACAAGCCATTAGAGATGTCCTCCCAGGAACACGCTACAGCCATTTCCAAAATATCTTGGTGAGGCTGGGGTGGGAAAAGCACAGCAAACAGCTGCTTATCCCAAATGGCTGCTAATTTTGGGATGATTATCTATTTGTATTCTGTGAAGAACCAAACCTCAGCTCCATCCCACACGCAAAACACTGGGAAGCTTGGACCCAGACCTAAAAGCTGAGTTCTGGGACCTTAATTTTCCTTTAACTCCTCGTCCGCTGACCCTGTCAGGAGCCAAGCACAATGGTACCACAGTATCTTATGGGGAAGGTTTTTTTTTCAGCAGAAAGTGGAGACATGGACCATTTTATCTATGAATCTCCCTCAGTTCCGCAGAAGCAGAAGTCTGCACCCCCTGTGCAAATGCTGGGTGGTTGTGGAGAGCCCGTCCTCAAGAGCAAGGCTCCTGCTCACCCTCCACCATCCCTCCTGCTCCAAGCAAACCTCCCCGTCCTGGCAGCTCCAGGTGCCCCCCGCATGTGCAGACCACGACTGCCTGGGGCCTGCAGCTCCTGCCCAGCTGAAGACAGCTCCTTCAAATCATCTTCCCCCAGAACACAAATGGACGGCCTGTTAGGCAGAGTATTAATATGAAACAAATGTTTTGAGCATGTAGCGCTGACTTACAAGGGAAAATACAAGCACTTGGAATTTTTCCACTGAACAACGGCAGGGACCTTTGCAGCAGCTGTTTCGAATAGACATTGTGATTAATGGGGATAATGCAGGAATGAAAACCAGACCCATCGTCACACGTCTGACGGACCAGTGCTGCAGGCAGGCGGGCAGCCTTTTATTTTAATTTTTTTTAACCAAGAAATGCCTCTCTGAAGGCAACAGAGTTTGATCCAGAGGCACACGAGGCACATGGGAGGCGTTTGACTATCGCTGGTATTGAAATCACAGCTCTGAGCCGAAACCAGCCCGCGCGTGCGGAGGTGCTGTCCATCCAGCCACAGGGGCAACACGCTCATCACATCGGGGGGAAGGTCCCGGCTCTGCCGATCCGCACCGAGACCCCCATCGCTGTGCTCAGCCTGGGACAAAGGCCTCTCCGAACATTTCTGTCTGATCAATTCCCCGCCTGTGCTATATTTCAGCAGGCAGCACGGCTTCCCCTCTGATCAGCTCCCCTGCCCTCGCCATGACGGGAAAGTCTCTTGGAAACCAACTCTTCATTGTGCTCCAGTACGGAAACGGGAAATAGGCTGCGGTAGGGAGTGCTGCAATGGCCGTCACTGCGCAATGGCCGTCACTGCCACAGCTGCAGGCTGGGCACATGGAGAATGGAGGGGACCGTAACTCCTGTGCGTGGCCTTAGCCCCTGCTGAGGACCCAGCATCTGCAGGTGGCGGCAGATGCAGGTCCTGCTGGTGGCCTGTCAGCGCTGCAAAGGGCCACCACCACCCCGCTCCCCCCATACTCTGTGCTTCCTCCTCCCGCATGGGGCAGGCAGGACTGCAGGGCACAGAGACGCCAGCTCAGGGCTCGCCCAGCATCGTCTGCACTGGCCCCGCTACAGACTCTGGACCAGCCCATGGTTATGGGCACCTCCCCACTGGCACGTGGGAGCTCCTCGCTGTAAATGAGCTTCCTAATGTGCCCAGTAAGACTCAACTTTCTTTCCTCTTTTTTATTTTTTTCCCCTGAGAAAGCCTTCTTGCACAATGTCCATTTTTAGCACAAACTGGAGCTGGATCAGATGCCTCACATGTGGTCTCCACTCTCCAAAAGGAGAGATCAGCACTTTTTCTCTCCAATGGTTTAACTACAGGCACCAAAACTGAAGATTAAAAAAAACTGCACTAATTCACTCTTTTCTGCTCTTAGAGGCTGGAGAATCTTGCTGCATTTGCACAGCCATCCTTACTTGCTCCTGCAACTTTTCTTTCATTACACTGGCTAATTATGTGAGCTAGAATGAAATATTATGAACTACAAAACCACAGGCTTTAGGACAAAAAGTGATCATCAGCTGGGATCAGAAGACATTACGATACGTATGAGGACAATATAATATTGCTTCTGTGGCTATAGCAAACACTTTGGGAAAAGAGATTTTTCAAAGGCTTTTTCCAGACTCTCCCCTGTGGGTATAATGGGATGTCCTCCAATTAACTGCCGTGGAATCAATTAAGTTATTGCTCAATTCTTCTGGGAAATTCCAACCAGAACTGGCACAGGTTGGAGATAAAGCACTGAGCAGATGGACCACTGATGTACTGTGAGATGCCAAACGTATTCCTCGTTGTTAACATCAGAAGACAGTTGGGCTTCTGGAGACACCCCCTCTCGGCGGGAACCGTGCGAGGAGCCCCTGTGCGGACAGAGCAGACCCCTGCTCCAGTGCCACTGTCCCTCCCCAATGCACTCAGCACAGACAGCGCTGAACCGGCCGGCGACCACCAGCACAGGAAAACATCAAATCGCCGCAACAGCTTCCAAAACCTCAGCTGTTCTGGCCGTCTTTCAAACCCCCTGCAGCTCTCTGCTCAAGCATGGTGAAAGAGTCCCTGCTCCGGCCTTAGGAAAGGCCTGCCACAACATCTGCTCTCACCGAACCCACAGGCAGAAGTGCAGATGCAGCTGAACTTAAGGTTGCTTTTCCCCACTTGGACCTCTCAAGACCCTGGAGTCTGTCAAGCCTCAGTGACTGTTCAGGTGGCAATGCTGGCAGGTATTTAGGTCCTCAGCTGAAAATGGAATTCTATGACTCAATTCTAGTAACACCAGGACACCCATACACCTGCATGCAGTGCAAATGCGCATCCCAAGTGAGTAGTGAGCTGGCTCTCTTACCCTGAGGTAGCTGTACATGCAGATGGACATCCAGTTGGTGAGCATCTTCTCCACCACAGATTCCGTTCTCCTCAGCATCAGCTTGGGGTTTTTGGAAGCCGAAGCATCTATGAGATCCACCAAGAGGTCCTTCATGATACTGGTGTAGTACTCCAGTTTCCCATGCAGCGCAATAGTAAGCAGGGAGGCCAGGTTACACCTGAAACACAGAATTGTGTATGGCTCAAGCACCAACCTGACAAGACTGAACTGCCAACTGGCACTAAAAAACCCAACAAAACACAAAGGCATTCAGAGTATTCACAAAGTACTTCAGACAATTTTCATGAGCCTTCTCAATGGTCTTAAAACTTCAAACTCTGTTTCATTGCTGCAGGACCTTGGGTCAGCTCGCACCCTCTTACTGAAAAGCCAAGTGTTCAGGGATACAAACACTCATGAGTGAGTCACTTATTGCACCTTTTGGTGCTCTTCAGGGTAACAGAGGTTTATGGCCATCCATTTCCAATAGAAAAGTGGGAGGCAAGCGTAACTCAACCTTCAACTGAAAGGCACGGCTCCAGACAAGGGCTGGATTGCTTAGAGGGTAGGAATAAATCAGTCTTCTCCAGCCGAAGCTCATACCTGTCTCTAACAGCAAAGTCCTTCTGTTGCTCAAGAGCGTGGACAAACACGATGAGAAAGTGCCTGTTGTTGAGTAAGGTGGAGAACAGCGAGATTCCTTCCTCCATATTTGGTCTACAGTTTTCAGGGATCTAAAGAAAAAACAGAAAGCAGAATGAGAAAACCCCTGCTTGTTGTTTTCCTCCTGCTTCCATCCTTGAAGGCATTTCACACAGCTAGGCAAGGGCCTCAGCAACCTCATCAAGCTGGGGCTGCTTTAAGCAGAGCTCCCTTCCACCCAAAGCAACTGTGACTCTTCAATTCCTACTTCCTGTCCACGTGAAACCTGGCTCTGGGACAACAACAGCGTTTACCGAGCCCCTGCTCGGGAGGAATCTCCCTTAGATGAGCTGTGTGTGGGACCAAAGTGATGTGCAATACGATACACACAGGAAGAAAAGCCCACAGCAGAGCCAGGGAGGATCTCAGGACAGAGCTCCTTCATGCGAGAGCAGATCCACAGATCTGCCTGCTCCAACCAGCCAAAGCAGATCCAACACTGGTGCGTGTTAATTGTTTTCAGTGATCAAGCATCCCCCGCACACCACAGGGAAATGCACGGCACTGTCCACTGTTCGTGGGTTACTCACTTTCCACTCCCCCACCAGCAGCGGATGAGTTTCCTGGACCTGGGAGCCCACCTGGGCGCTGAGCGGCTGGGATGGGAGGATGTAGCACTCCTCATAGAGCGACGAGCACTGCAAACAAGCACAGCGTTACGGGGGCTGCACCGGACGGGGACCCCTCGCTGCCGCACACCGCCAGGGAACGAGACCGAGAGAGGTGTCATCGGGGGAGACGACCACCCATCATGGAGAAATGCATCGGTATGGTTTACCAAGTCTCTAAACACTTCGCAAGAGCCTCTAGAATGAGCAAACCCCACAAGAACGGGGGGAAGCAGATGTCTGTGCAGACACGGGGCTGTTAGGGTAGGGAGACTGCAAATAGACTAATTTGACAGCTAGAAAAATCCCAGAAGAGAAAGCATGCTAGAAGACTAAGTCAAAATAGAGGAGTACTGGGTGTTTTAACATATGTAACTCTTGAAACAGATGGGAAAAATGTTTAAATCTCTAACATTCATATAGCAGCCCGAATCTTAAAGACTCTAGTGTACAGATATATAGAGACTGGATAACTTAAAAACCTGAGTAATAAATACTAATGAAACACTCTGCAGTCATAAATCACCATCTCACTCCTCACCACTGAAATGCAACTGCCTCAGGGGTGAAATACAGCCACTGCTAAGGCAGCAACACGGCGACACGGCGGAGCAACCGGTGATGGGAATTACGGCACCGTCGCGTCTGCCGTGGCCATGGAGGGCAACTCCAGGCAGACAGACTGGGACTGGGCGCCCACAGGGCATCGTACTGGGAGCGCCATGTGCCCAGCCCTTGATAGAGGAGAGAAAAGGGAGGCAGAGATAACTGAGGAGCTCCCAAGGATGGGCAGAGCAGCTCGGTGCACACTGTGGGGAACAAAAACCCTCTCTCCGCAAATGCCAAGGGCAGATACAGCCTTCATCTGCCCTTCAGCCTCCGCTGAACAGAGCGGGGTGGCATCGGAGCCTCTGGGTGCAGGGGGGTTACAACAGTTTCTGCTCATGTGAGGGTGCTTTAGGATGAGGGTGTCCAGCGGCACTGAATGGCCGAGTCGCAGCCACTGCCGGGACGGGGCTGTCACCAGGCTCCGAGCGTGTGCAAGCAAACCTGACCTTACTTCACACCCCAGGAGCCGCGTCTGCGCCTTTGACAATAATTGAGGCTGAAATATGTGACAACTAAATACGTAACAGTGGAATGATTTTGTTACACTAAAATACCCCTTCAGCAGGGGGAAAGCAGAGCCCTGGTCTGGGTAGGAGGGATCGGGGAGCGATGAGGTGCCTGTGAAACGCGGTGTCGCCTTACTTTGGGGAAGAACGTCCGGGTGACAAAGTGCTTGTACTCCAGGAAGGGGATCCCCTGGCTGCGGTTTAGCTCCTTGGTCAGGTCTGTCATGTCTGTCTGCAGCTCCGCGAAACCTTGCACAAAGAGACCGCAGATGGTGGGAGCTCCCGTGCTGCGCCAGCTGAGGCAGCAGGCAGGCTGGCTCCAAAATATCTGGCATGTCTCCCCCCTGCCTCCGTAAACCCTTCCCTCCAGTGGGCTGAGGCAGGGCTCAACCAGGCACATCATGTCCTGCAGCACCCACAGGACATTCCCCTTCCCAGGAGAGCAGCCCCAGGGCTCTGCAGGACCTCAGCCACGCTCCAGGCACTGAGCCTCCCTCATAAACCCTGCTGCAGCAACAAGGTGAAGGCACAAATTCTCCCATAAATAACTGTATAAACTTCTACAAAGTAGAAGGTTGAAGGGGCTTAACACAGCTGTCCCAGCACCGCCCTCCCAGTCCTGGCTCCTACTTGGTGCCTTACCTTTGCGGATTTCCTCCCGGATCTGTGACTCCATCTCCTCCATCTGGAGCAGGGTTTTCTGCCAGTAGCGCTCTGCTCTGCGGCTCTTTGTGCAAAACACAAAGAGAGCTGGAAAAGAGGAAGGGAAGAAGCCTTTTGGACCAGGGCTGAGGAGCAGCTGCAGCTGGGATCAGAGTCCTCTGCTGACATGGGTGCAGAAAGCTAAACTCAGAGCTGGCTTAACACCCTCAACAAGCCTGGTATGTGACCAGGCAGTTCTCGATTACCTGTAAATAAGTAAAACCATCTGGAATTTAACAATCATGCTGTAACTGTCATCTTCCATTTAGGTCTGGGCTGTCTATATTCAGCTTAACTGTAAATTAATGTATTCCAGCCGATTAATGAATACAGATTTTAAGACGTTCACCACCTGTACAGTGTTCATGTCTGAGACTTCCCATGCCTCCAGAAAGATGTTTCTAACGATGGGCAGTGCATTTAATAAATAGTGTGCATATAACTTTTACTAAAAATAAATTAAACCCCTATTAGAAACACCCAATTTGCTGTGAACTAACAGGTTTTGTGCTGCAGAGTCGTTCTGGGCATGCAAAGGGAAGATGCCAGAGGACACAGGTGTGTGGCACAGCTCCCAGCAGGGTCGGTAACTGTGGAGTCTGCTGCAGGTCTGCAGCTCAGGACACTGCTCTGCTGCCCATGCTCCTTACCAGGTGCCTGTCCCTGACAGCAGAACCTTGGGCTGGGTGGACCTTTGGGGTGGTCTGGGACAGCCATGCCTGTGGGTAGGCCCTGTGCATGCTGGTACCAGTCTAAGACCAGTTTCTCACACCCTTTTCTATTTTTATTATGGTGCCTGCTAAGTGTTTGAGGGAAACACGTGCAATGAGAAAGAAAACCTTGGCACAGCCTGGAAACTCAGCATTCTGTTCCCTTACCTACAACAGAGAGGACCAGCAAGATGCTGCAGATGACAATGGAGACGATGATGGCGGTCTCTCCTCCCCCGAGGTGCAGCATCGCAACCGTGTAGTTGAACTTTCCCACTTGGATCTAGAGAGGGAGGAGGAGGGAGAAAAGCCGGGGCTGAGCAGCACATTGACGAGCGGCTCAGAGGTCCATGGAGCAGCACGCACAGACCTTGGCCCAAGGACACACTGACCACACCAGCTCAGCCCACCACGCCTGGCCACTGCAGGACCCTGGGGACTTTGTGTGTCCCAGAGGAGCCCAGGTCCCCTCCCGCACACTGCGGTGGAAGCCCAGGCAGGGGCACAGCAGGCTGTGGTACCGCAGCGGTGCCCATCCCAGGGCCCCCGCAGGGCTTTGGTGGCAGAGCCACATGCTCCAGCCCATGTCACAGCGCCACCATTCCCAACCCACAGTACAAGATAATCCTTTCTTAGAGAGCTCACCGCACCATAAAATACAGCCTGTGCTATTTCTTCTAGAAAACCACTTCCACCAATATCCAACATTGTTCTGCCTCTGAACAGCCTCTGAATCCCAGCCACGCTTCCCTTTCTTCTCCAAAAGCTGAACTGCTGCTACTCAGGAGGAGGAGAGTGAAGGGACTTAAAGCTCTTTGAAATACAAATAAAGTAAGGGAATAAAAATAAATAATAACGAGATCAGAGACGAGTAATGATCTAGTGGCTAAAGCAGTGGACGGGGTGTCAGGAGGTGCTGGCTCTGCTCCCAACCCCTACTTGTTGTGACACCAAGCACAAACCACTTGAGCCCAGTCCTTTGGTCTCCTGATCGATGGCCAGAAAGACGAGGCCAACACACATCACAGGCGGGCTGGCCAGCTCACCCGGTGCTGTTTATAAACGGCTCTCCAGCTCCTGGGATGAAAGGATTCAACAGCATCATCTGATAAGAAAAACTCATGACTACACAAGCCTTTCACTTCTGGAAATGTGAGTTTCACTTCTCTCCAGGAATGAGAAGCGAGAGAAACTTGAGCAAAAAATCTGAAAGGAGGTAGGGAAGAGATGGAATAATCTCGTGACTGCATCTGCACCATGAGCACCTCCAGGAAAGGTGCTCACTGCCGCTGAACTGCAGCCAGCGGCTGAGGCAGGGCAGGGCCACCGGCAGGGCCTTCCCACCACGTCCACACACCACGCACTTCACACCTCACAGCTCAGTGCCCACTGGGAAACCCAAGCCCTCGCCTCTTGATATCCACCTCTTTTGCCTGAAATGCCACAATGAGGCAAGTTCTCAATGCACTTTAGGTCTTTTTTTCCCCACCAACTCAACCTTTTGCATTTGCCAGAGGAGAAATCCCACGCTTGCTGTTTAATTCAGTGTTTAAACAGCTTGGCCATGAACAAAAATGAGTATGAAGGCCTCAACAAGCATCTCTTGTTTATTTGGACAGGTCTACTCAAGACAGTTTTTTGTATGGGGAATTAATTAGGCTGCAGGCTAAATGGCATTTCCTGTCACTAGCACCTGGGGGGTCAGAAGGGGCCGGAAGACGCCCTGCTCCCAAGAAGAGCTGTGGGACTGGGCAGGACCCCAGGGGCACAGGGCTGCCTTGGGGGTCACCGGGGACCCCGCTCTGGCTCACGGGATGGAGCCGTCTGGCAGCGTTCCTGGGTGCCAATGGGATCCAACAGGCACGCTGTAGAGGCAGCTGCTGCCTCCTAAACGGTCAGGCGAGAGCTCAAACATACGGAGGTTTAATAAGGGCACACAGACGTGAATGCAGGTTGGTTTTTTAGCTGCACTCGCACTGCTGGTACACTCTCAATAGCCGTGTGATACTGTAGGGCTGGGTGTTGTTCTCCTGCTTCCTAGGCATCTACGAGGGCATTGCCCTGGATGTTTCACATCAAACCAAGACTAGCAAACTCATAGATTCCTTCTCTTCCCCAAAGGGATTTCCCTGTTTCTCAGTTCTCACTAAAACCAAAATTACCCTATTTAAAATTTCCATTTAAATGACTTGGGTAATTCCGCTACTTCTGCATTTCCATGTTTCCAGTCTGCAGCAGAATTTCTTATGCCACAGACTGCAGCCAGGGAACTGGGCAGCCCTGGCAGCGAATGGTGCTGCATCCTCGTGCCTTTCTTCCGGGGAGCGCAAGCCCACGGCCTCCTTGATTGCTTTCGCAGCCTTCCCCCTCCTCCCTGACCAGCTGCAGGCTCACCTCACTCTGTTAAGGGGGCTGTGGGTCTCAGACCATGGAGATGGAGGTATTTCATCTCCAGATACAAAGAGCCACAGTCACATTCCTGCATGGCAATGGGCTGTACGTGGCATGAGGGAAGCTGAGAGCTAGGAGAGCATAAGCCAAGCCCTCTGTGGAAAAAGGACTGTAACAAAGTGTTGTGAATTCTGCAGACACAAATATGAACATCCCTCAACGCTGAACTCTGCAGTGACAAAAGGGCAGTCCCTGGGAAGCAGCATGGAGCTTTCCAGCCCTGCGCGCTGCTCCTGTCCCTACACTGGGACCCATCTCAGTGGCTCACTGCAGCTCTGGAAGGGTCGGACTCTCTTGGTCGCTGGCAGCTCCCCATCTGACTGAAAACTGCACAGAAATCCCCAAACATGTGGGGCAGAACGAAAATTACTGCAAGTGACTAAAGCTCACACGCCTGGGGTTTCACCGTGCCTTACGAGAACTGACAGAGCCTCACCCCAGTGACAGCAGGGTTAGCTCAGCTATCAGTGTCCCCAGTGTGGAGCATGGAGGGAGTCTGCATGACCCCTTGTGACTCAACATGATTCCCTGTAACTCTGCATGACTCAGGGCAGTCTCAGTGTGGGCTACGCTTGTATTAGGCCAATAAGCCACTGGCCACCGAGCCATCAGCTAACAAGCCATGAGCCACCGAGCCACCGTCAAACGAGCTGCCCTGGGCACGGCTCCCAGGCCGCTCTGTGCGCCCTTTGTCCATGCAGCGTCCTGCAAGGCCACTGTCAGAGCGCCCCGTCCTGCCTGTGCACACAGCTGACCCCTGGGCATACAGGGTTTGCAGCTGGGACCCTTCATCCCCACGTGCTTGGAGTGAGGGGCTCCCGTACTCACCGTCACCGGTAGCTGCCTTTCCGAGGTGCTCAGAGACTCGTTGACAGAGCAGTGGATGACTTTGTCTGAAACTATCTGGATCTCGCACGAGATAAGGCCAATTTTCACTTGGTACTCATTGCTTTCCAGGCCCAGGCTGTCAGGCTCTTTCTAATGACAAAAACAGAATCAGGATGTCAGCCTTTAGAGCAGCAATCGGAACTGCAATGGATTTTCCTGCCTTACTTTCAGTATTCCCTGCTGGCTTTCAGACCTGGGAGGACTGTCCCCCATCAAGGACATTTTTCCAGTGCTTCACAGGAAACCCAGAACCAGGCCATTTCCCATTTTCCTGTTTCCCATTCCTCACTCTGCAGGGGGCAGGGAGGAGCAAGCCCCTGGTGGAACCTGGAAAAATCTGCTCCTGATCCGCCCTGCTGCGCACCGCAGATAAGGACCCAAGTGCCCTTATGGGAGGGGAAGGATGTGCCGTGGAGCAGAGGGACGGGGCTGCAGGGCCTGAGAAGGGGGAGTGCGTTCAGGCACGCTGTGGCCAGCAAGGATTTCCTGCAGTGAACAATGGCCTTTGAATTACGATTGCGCATTGTCCAAGCTGCTTGATCGGTGTACCCCGACTTCCCTGCTAGCTGAGCTGAATTCAGTAGCCAAAAGAGAAGAATGCACAACCTGTTTTTGCAGGAATAAATATCTATTGTCAGGAACTTCTGTAGCACCTGCCTGACTTCAGGCCAGTGCATTATTGTTATTTTTCGTATGTCAGTACTGTATTTAGCTTCTTGCCATGACATCCCCCACACGCAGCTCCCTGTCCATGGCTCGAAGGGCACCCTCAGGCCAGGCTGCATCTCTGAGTGAGGGCTGCTGCGGGTGCAGCTGAGTGAGAACAGCCTGGTCCTGTGCGGCTTCTGCCCCTGCCCTCCTCATCCTCCTCCCTACCCTCTCCTGCCTGTGGACAGTCACTGCAATGGCACCTGGGGCTGCAGAGCTTCCCCGCGGGGAGTGGGCAACACCCCCGAAACAGAGCTGTAACTGCCCCCTCTTACGTGTATGACCAGGGTCAGAGGCTCGCCGGGATGGTGCTTGATCCACTTCTCCTTCTTGGCTGTGAAGAACTGGGGGTCAGTGTGGTACTCCAGGCTGAACTTGCTGATGTGCACGGCCTCCTCAGGGTACATCTCCTCATCCAGTGCCGGGCGGTCGTCCGCATAGAGGCGGCCGTTGAGATAGAAATCGATGGGTGCAGGCTTGCTCCCTGCAGTGACGTTGGAGGCAGCAGGAGATGGGCAGGTGAGCACTGTGTCGGTGTGAACCCTGCAGGTCTGGAAGCAGAAGAGAGCACACACATCACAAAATGACATCCTGAGAGCCCCCACAAGCCTTGTTCCCAGCCCCATCTGCAGCATGGGCTGCACACCCCAAACATCCCTGGGCACCAGGCATGCAGCCCCGCTCCAGTCACCAGGCGATACCCAGCGGGGACACCCACCGTCTGCTCTCTGCCGATGCCACGGACCACCATGGACACGTTCTGGATCAGCTCAAAGCCTCTTCCTTCCAGGGTGATGATCCTGCCCCCGCTTCAGGGAGAAGGGAAGAAAGAGAGGGTAATTGCAGAGGATGACACCGAGATCCCTTTAAGGCTGATGGGGTCCTGCACCTCCCAGACGCTTCTGATTGAGACCACAATGTGAAAGTTGTTTTGTGTTTTGGATCGGCTGCTTGGGAAATGCAAAACATGGGCTTCTCAATGTGTAGTCAATTAACAACAGTAACGAGGCCCCCGATGGGCACAGGATTGCTCCGCAGAGCAAGGAGTGGAGAACGAGCATGGCTGGGCTGCTCCAACAGCAGAAGCTGTTCCCTGGCTGTGCCTTCCCCATTTGATGTCTGGAGCATCTCTCAGGACCAGTTGGGACTTACAAATCCCATTATCTCAAGACCACGTCAGACACAGTGACTTTGGGTCTAAGGCCTGGAAAGTCAGGTTGTCTGAAATCTTTTACAATACTGCACATATTACGATGCAGTTACAGTCCAAGTTTCTAATTAAGAGCCTATGACATCTGCAGACTAGTTTACAACTTCTGTTTTGTTTTAAACTCTGCTTACACAGATTATCTTAGCAATATGGTAAGATAAATCAGATCCAGCTCCATTTTTACACAAGTTATTGAGCCCTCATGGTCAGCAGCCCAGCAATGCATGGGAGCAGTCAGGCTGCACCAGCCACCAGGCAGTCAGAAGAGAGACTGCTGTCACGTTCCCAGCAGTCTGAAACTTGGAAACTGCAGTAAATCCTAAGGAAGCAGACTGAGGTGACGGAGCCATGCCCCGGAGCTTTCCCTGGCGAATTCGGGCAGGGACATTCCTCCCCTGTCTCTGCTCAGACATAGCCCAGCGCTGTTCTCCAGCGGCCAGGAGCTGAGTCACTGTGGTTCCTTGTCATTAACGTCCCCACAGCCGCAGCCCTGGTGCTGTGCTCAGGAACGCCAAGACGCAGCTCTGTTCCGAGGGGATGGCCCTGTCAGAGCCTGCTGCGTGTCCATGCCCCAGCGCTGCTTTCAGCACCGTCCTGAGCCATGGGCGCCCGAATCCCAGATTTCTTGGTCAGCCTGGGTTTTCCAGGCTCCACCGCCAAGGAAGGTGGGATTTCACCACGGTATCCAGAGGAACAGGAGCCTGAGAGCTCCACAGAGAGACATGAAACTAAAAGCAACACACTTTAAAAATGAAATACTGTGACCTCGGGGAAGACTGAAATCCAAAATCACAAATCTCGGCTTATCCTCCAGCAGTTTTACTGCCAAGAAAAATCCTTTGGGTCTCGTAGAACCCCCACCTGGACCTCTCTAAGGCACCCACCAGGTGTACACTGTGTAGTAACCACAGCTGACTTCTTTCCATGCCTTAAATGTGCTGAAATGAGCTACGGCCAGTCTTGGTGTGCGAGACCTCTTCCACTGCAGTGCTGGGTACCTGGGGCACCCCGAGAGCACCCTGCGGTGCCCCTTGTGTACGCCCCTGCAGGGCAAGGTGTCAAACCTGGGCTGGGACAGCCCCCTTCTCCGCACGGGATCCCCTCTCCAGGGAGCTCTGTGCTCTGATGGGAGAGCACCGCTCACCTCTGTATTCGGCAAAAATGAGGAGGCTGATCTCAGCAAGGCCACAAACCCTGGCAGACTTGGCTGCTTCTGCGGCGGGAGGGGTCTCACCTGATCTGGCTCTTTTTGGGGTTGATGTCCAATATAACTGGATTCTTCTCATACTTGAATGTGATGTTGTGGCTGACACAAGACTTGTTCTCGAACTGGACACAGACGCGCACGGCCGTGGTGAGCTCGGCAGCCGGCATGGTGCAGGTGATGGTGCTGTCATTGCGGCTGGGCAGGGAAAGGCAGGGTAAGACACAGAAACCCACAGTTGGAGCCAGGCCCTGCAGACTTGAGCCCCCCAGGAAGCAGACACAGGCAAGAAGGAGCTTCCAGTAACACACCATACAGCCATAACCTATTAATTACCCTGCCCACTAACAACCAACCCTAGCACATCCCGCCAGGCTGCCAGGCTGTTTTCCCACGCAGCCAAAGGCAAAGGGCAGGGTCCTGCTCCTTCCCACGAATGCGATGGGAGCGCACAGGAGGGGTCTCTGCCGACCACAGCTGCCACAGGAGTGGGACATGAAGCGGGACCCTGGTGTGCAGGTGCCTCCAGCAGGTCTGGGAATGAGCCCACGTCTGCTTCGCCCCCAGGGTTTTGGTCCTGATCCCAGACCACTCGGCAGCATCCTGTGAATGGTGCAGCAGAAGCGCTTCGTTTGTGCTGGTTGCTGCCACCACGTCATGGTGACACCAATGCCACCAGCTTGCCAAAGAACCTCGTCCCATCCTGGCATCAGGCACCAGCACCACAGCTCTGCCCCACCACGACAGGGACATTGCGGTGATGGGCACTGTAAACGGAGCAGGCAGCGGTGGGGATGCTACGCTGGCTCCAAGGCTGACAGCAGCACACAGCCGTGTCCCCCACCCAAACCCCAGCCCTTCCTGACCTCCCTGGGGTCAATGTCACCCTTCCCAATGCCTTGGCTCTTGTCACAAGCTCAGTGCCAGCCCCCAGCCCATTCCCACCTGAGATCCGTGCACTGCTTGGAGGCGCTGACAAGGACACGGAGCTCGGAGCCGATGTCCAGGCTGCTGCCTCTGATGGTCACTCTGGTGCCTCCAGCCTTCGGGCCATTCAAGGGAGTGATGGACTGCACCACGGGAAGCTAAAAACAAAGGGGAAATCCTTTCTTGCCTGGTAAATTCACATTTGGATACTCCACAGTGCACATGGGAATTGTTTCAGTAAATTTAAGTATACAGTACTGTGAGGCTCTGAAACAAAAGCTTTCCCTGGCAGAGTTTCAGAACAAGGAGAGAGGTATCAGTGCTGAGGAGTGAGCTCATGTAAAACCTCTGTGACTCTCTGCAGTCCCTAAATTCTGGCAATAAACGAGACAGGAGCCTGAACTGGAGCCCAGGGTCCCACCAGTCCCTTGAGGTTTCCAATGGAGGGTCCAGAGCTGGCGACAGCCCAAGGTTCATCCGCAAAAGGAAATTTCTCCTTCACGCCAGCTCCCACCATCCCTGCCCTTCCAGATCCATTTCCTCCTGAAAGCAAAGCTGATGCTAAAGCCCTGCTGGATGATGGCCTTGAGATCTGTGAAAACAGCCACCTGGGTCTGGATAATTGAATATCAAACTGCTGCTTAAGGAAGCTTCAAATCCGAATCTCTTGAGGCAACAGGAACTGAAGGGGAAGTTATTTTGCCTCTCGCCATTTTCAGCTATTAGCATGTGTGTTATCTGTGTTTGCAGCCCCTGGAAATCTTCCTGAGATTCATGAGCTTTGGTACCCACGCAGCTCCAACCCTCACGCCTGCTACGCAGCGTGCCCCAGGAGAGCCTGCGGGCAGCCTCCCCGCTCCATCTCAACAGGACATCAAGGGCACAGCAAATAATCCCTTCAAGACCCCTCCGCAAGGCACTTGGCAACCCCCTGCCCGGCACCGCAGACCCCGGGGGAACAGGACTGCCCAGGCTGCGCAGGGCCGCCCGCTCCCCACCACAGCCCCAGCAAACGTGCAACCAGACCACGGGGAACACGGCGCCCAATGTCCTTTCCTGTCAATCCCAGCACACAAACACGCTTATTAACAGCTCTCCTTGCCCCTGTCCTACACTCAGGCTGTTTTGTTTCTCTTCAGCCGTTTCCTCTGTTGTTTCTGATCATTACCCATTTCCACAGGATTCACTTTGTTAATTCATATTTTCTGAGTGTCTGCAGGCAGCTGTTTTCTGCCCTTGGCCCCTAACCTATGCATTCAAATCTGCAGTACAACAACACAGAGAGGGTTATTCACATTCCCCAAAGCCCTCCCGCTCTTCCCCTCAGCAAGAGCCAGTGGCTACCACTCTCCGTGCACTGCCAGCACTGATTGTCTCCATTGCAGCTTTTGCAAATCCAGCTCATTTGGCAAATTCAGCTCATCCAGAGTCTGCTATAATGTCCTGGAAAAGTCTCTTGATCACATTTCTCCCTCCTCCTCAGCAGAATTACAGATTAATAATGTCTTTTCTAGACACACCTAACAGGGGCTTTGAAAAATGTAGCACACGCACAATATCTGGTATTTTACAAAGGTTCTTCTCTGGAAGGGCAGTTCTGTAAGTCCTTTAGGCTTTTCGGATAAGCTGCTATCAACACCCAAGCTCAGGTGCCACCGAGAGCAGCCTTGCACAGGGCAGTGTACTCCATGCCACTGCATGCGACAGGAGAATCAAGGAAACAAAGCAGCACGGCTGAGTTTGCAAACAGTGCAGAAGCCACGTTTGGTGCAGAGCAGCAGCCGCATGCCGTGCAGCTTCACCCCGACAAGCAGGCACAGAGCAGGGGCCTGCCTCATCTCCTCCCCAAGCTTTGCTGGGACAGACACCAGACATTTCTGCCGTGCTGCCGAGCAGAGTGGCTCCTGTCCCGCTCCTAGGACAGCCTTTGCTGTACGCCTGCTCCAGAGCTGCCAGCACAGAGCCATCATGGACCTGGCCTGAGAGCAGCGACTGGCTACTGCTTCCTGTGCTTTGTTCAGCACCGCTGCTTTTGCAGGTGTTTCCTGAGGGGGCTTCTCCTCGCACACCAAAAGCTGGTGAAGGAGCCACCTGGCCCTTCCCCAGTCTTGGGGCCCTTCTCCTCTTTGTCAAGAAGACAATTGGCCTGGCCACGGGTGAGGTGGCCAGGTCAGCACACACATCCTGAAACCCCAAATCCCAGGGCCGTCACTGGGCTGCATCCGGCTCCACTCCAGACTGATGGATCTCCACAGCGTTTTGGGTGTGAACATGGGATGCCTGGAAACCACGGGAATGGGTCCCAGAGCAAACACCCTCCTGGGAACGACCGCTGAGCCGAGCCTGGCAGTGCCCTCATGATGGGGTACAGGGATGGGATTATACTCCACGATCCTGCCCTAAATTCCTCACAAAGGCTACCAGGAACCAAATGTTGTTTCCTGGGGCTGAAGCCATCTTTCAGCCACCCGACGGCAGCACAGCCTACTCCTCCACAGCACAAGCACAAAGGCTCTGAGTAAACAGCATGCCCTTGGCACCCATCCTGTTGTGCTTGCCCTGGACGTGAATAGCGTCTAGCCAGAGACGAGGGTGCTTATAGGGAAGAGAAGAGCTGCATGGATTTCTTTCAGGTTTTAGAGATGAAAGTTATCTTTGTGAGATGGTACAGTACAAAGCTATAAAGGGCTTTTCTTTGTATAATGACACGGGGTTACCTCAGGTCTAATCCCTATACATTATTCTCATGTAAAAACTAAATCTCTGCAGGGAAAAAATATCGGTTCTAAATAATGTGAGCCCACGGTACGTAACTTACATAGCACAAAGAGACTTTGCAAGTCTCAAAAAATCTCACAGGTAGTAACAGCACTTTAGCAAAAGAGGAGGAAGAAAAAAGAGCTCCTTTTCATAGCCAGAGAAACGATGATGCAGCCAGGATCAGTCATAAACTACGGAGATGGGGAGCGAGGCCATGCAGTGATCACCTGGCTGCAGTCCTGACCATGCTCTCACACCGGGTCTGCCAGGCCTGCTCAGGTAACCATGGCTGAGGAACCGCGCTGGCTTCTCCTCCAGGGCTCCGATGCTTTGTGTTGGCCGGGGGTGCAGGCATGTTTGTGGGGTACAGGGAACATGAGCATGGGAATCACCAGAGAAACACCTGGGCGCAGCTACTCACCACGTAGGAGTACCGCTCCCTGGACCTCCCTTCCCGGCTCACGTTGACCGTCACCACATCAGAGAACGCCTCTGGAGTCTCCCCGGTCTGGCACACGATCCTGCAAGGGGAAAGGGGACGTTGGCCATGGGGCAGAGCAGAGGGGCAGAGCCCACAGCCGCCTCCTCCTCCTCCTCCTCCTCCTCCGTGCTCTGCCCAGCACCCGCTCCAGGACAGCACTGGCCGGCCCGTGCCTGCTCAGGGTCACCCATGACCCACCAGGGCCAGGCCACCGCGCTGCTCCCGCCCCAGGGCTCAGCGCTGGCAGGTGGTAATGGGGTGAGTAATGAGGACAGGGAGGGACAGGCAGGGGCAGGGAACAAGATGGGGATAGGGACCTCTTCCCCAACACTCACGCCTCGGAGACGACATATCTGTGGCGCAGTGGCACACACGGCACCCTGCCGATCCTGATGGCACCAAGGACGTCACTGAAGCGTCGGCCCAGGTTCCTCCCACGGATGGTCAGCAGCGTGCCCCCCTCCAGCGGCCCCCGCAGCGGCTCGATCTGCGGCACCAAAGGGAGGGGGGGGCAGA